TTTTGGGAGTATTCAAGGTGGGTGGCTTTAAGGCATGTCTATCCTTGAAAAAACCTCTGGTTTTATGTAAGTAATCTGGAAGACCTGTCTATGCCTTGATGTGATTTAACCCCAGCTGGTAGCTAAGCCCCATGCAGCTGCTCGCTCACTCCCCCTACAGGGAGATCCGGGGGAGAATTGGAAGAGTGAGATCTTGTGGGTTGAGATAGACAGTTTAATAGGTAAAGCAAAAGCCATGCAAGCAAAGCAAAATGAGAATTCATTCACCACTTGCCATGGGCAGGCAGGTGTTCAGCCATCTCCGGGACAGCAGGGCTCCATCATGCGTAGTGGTTACTTGGGAAGACAAATGCCATTGCTCTGAATGTCCCCCCTTCTTCACCCAGCTTTGTATACTGAGCATGATGTCATATGGTATGGAACATCCCTTTGGTCAGTTGGGGTCAGCTGTCCCAGCTGTGTCCCCTCCCAGCTTCTCATGCACCCCCAGAGTACTCACTGGTGGGGTGGCAAGCAGAAAAGGCCTTGGCTCTGTGTAAGCACTGCTCAGGAATAACAAAAATGTCTCTCTCTAATCAACACTGTTTTCAGCACCAGTCTAAAACATAGCCTCGTATCAGCTACTGTGAAGAAAATCAACTCTCTCGCAGCCAAAACCAGCACATTTGAGCAAGAGTCCCTTGGCAGCTCTGTTGAGGCTTGTTTAAATAACTTCACTTTGAGATTTTTCTGTCCGTTCAACTTTGTCTAAAAAGAAGCACTTGGCCTCCAGCGCAAACACTGTAGTATGTACCTTCCTGCCACTCCTCCATATGTTTGTGGATTTTTCTTGCTGCCTGTGTGCTACTGGAGGGCTGGGATATGGAGCTGGGCTGCATGAGTCCCTGTAATACTTTTTTCTTTCATCATTCCTTTTGATTTTGTGAGCCAGCATCTCTTTCAAAGCACTGCCAAGCAGCAGTGAAAAACACTGAGCAATATGAGCCTAAATATTAATTGCATGGTCTTCTGTTCAAGTAATGAAATTAGGGTGCTTCATGTTTCTTGTACGATGCTCTCTTTATGGGTAGACATAACAGAATTGTCACTTTTGTGTTAATCCAGGTGAGTGTAGCAGTTAGCCCTGACGGGGGGACAGGACAGCACAGCGTGATGTACGTGGGACTGCTGGCAATGGCTGCAGAGCTCTGCTTACCTGCTGGCTTGTGCCAAGTTGACTTGGCGCTGTGGTAGTCATGTTCATATGAAAGCTTTACCCCAGCATGAGGTGTAGCATCCTGCGGTGGTCAATGCTACACTAAGAAGGTCATAGTAGCTTCACTCTTGGGGCTCTTGTCAGGGAGGAGTGTCCTGCCATGAAGAAAATGCTGTAGCCCAATGTGTAAAGCTTGTCAATAATTATACTCTTACTGATTGACTAATGGAGCTGGAAACTTGTGATGTGTCATAGGATCGTTGGCATTATTGTGGAGATAGACCTGTAGTCTATGCTCCAGTACAGGGCCGTAGTCTTTCATGGAGACACGAATTTGAGGGAACCCCTGTGTAATTATTTTTTTCTGTAGGAGAAGAGGTATGTAAAAATTAAGAGAAAAGGTAAATGAACCCTAAAGCCTGACATTTTGAACTTGATGATATGGCCCCAAATTCTGAGTTGTTTTAAAAATGTTTCCTATTAGACTTGTGCCATGTGTCAGTTACCCATTTTGAAATATGACTGCATATTTATCTGATAGGTGTTTCCTAGTTGAACCTGCCCTGGTGCTAGACAGAAACAAGCATCTACAATCATTAATGCTATAGGGGCATGTGGCTGCAAAAAGGGTGAAATTGTGCTGTTGTGCTCATAATAAAATTGCCTGTAAGTTACAGTTCTTGACCATGAGTTTTGGTGATGGTTTATGGACAGAATAATGTCAAATGTGGTTTCTAATACCTGGATCCCAATCTTAAGTTGCTTGCTTATGAAGAGGGTCTGTTTGATAACTTCTATCAAAAAATGTCAGGTAGAATTTTGAGAATATGAAAACAAAACAAAAAAGTCCCCAAAATTTAAAATTCTGTGCATATTCTAAATCCTAATTAGCTTTGAAACAAAGCTCTATGAAACATACAAACTGCAGTTTTGCAGTAATTTTAAGGCAGGTAAATAGTTAGAGGTCTATAAATGCATTTTTAAAGCATAGGAAAACTTAGAATGCTTTAAGGATTATAAAATGATAAATTGAAAATTTCAATTTCTATGAAAGTCAGGTAACTTAATCTGGGACTTCAAACAGCTTGACTGTTGAAGTGCATGGGTGTAAGATTGGATACTTTAACTTGATTTTTTTTTATTTGTTAGAATGTTTCAATTTAAAACAATTAACCTTGACTGAGCCTTTTTTCTGGGGAAAAGATAGCATTTTTGTAATACTTTTCCCTTAGGTGTGTTTTAATATACACTTGGTATAGCTTGTTTCCAATTTGAGATCATGTTTATGTGCAAGTTCTTTTTAAGCTTTAAATCGAACACTAGAGAACAAATTGTGATATTGTTAATGAACTTGAGAAATTTAGCATTGATCTTAAATGTCTTTTATTTCATGTTTCTGAATGGGGTGAAGCAGTGTGCTTCTGGCTGCTTTGTGCTATAATGGAGCAAATGCAGAGCAGCTGGAATGACTTAGGTATGTGAGAAGGCTTAAACCTGTACCTGCTGCCAGTGCAGCCCAGCTGTTGTGTGGCTCTGAATCTTGCCCTTAGATTTCCTTGTGTGGGCAGAACTCTCAGGCAGCTGGGATGATTTGAAGACCAATGAGAACTTCATCCCCATATTTCGATGGGGACCTTCACATTGCTGGTATTACGAGTCTCAGAATTGCCATGTGCGAAGTAGCTAGTGTGTGCCAGGTAATGATCAGTGATGTGATGTCTACATTTATTTAGGATACCAGTGCTCTTGAGCTATCTGTTCATTAACAATAATGACAATTTAGATGGATGTTGTTAGAGATGGTGAAAATGCTTTTTTCCCTGAAAACTTGTTATAACTTTGTATCTGAGAACTCAGAGTCTTTCGTCATTGTATTTTAAAATATGTTCATTTTTTTGGGTCTCAAGAGAATGGTAGTCTGTGTCTCTAAATCTGTTTTCCATCATGCATAACAGAAGGATTCTGAATTTTACCAGTGCACAGACACCTGTGATCTTCATAACTGGTTTGTGTGGGTGTCAGCATTCAGCTCTCTGATGAAATTTGTCAGGAAAGAAATGTGAAACTGAATGAGATGGGAATTAAAGCAGAAAGTTGGCTGATTTAGCAGTAATCTAATGTGTAGCTAATTGGCTAGTATCCAAATTGTCCTTTTGATTGTTTGTTTTTCTTTGGGGAAGAATGCTATTGAACACTAGATGACTGCCTCCCTGAAGGAAAATACTGTAAGCTTCATGTCTAGGTATTTTGTTCTAACATCAATTTTTATCTTGTATGGCACAACTGGTTATATCATGTATGTGGGTCATGGTAATAAAACTGGAAGTGTTGGATTGCAGCAGCAAAATGCTGGCCATGTGTAGACCAGCAGGAGTTTTGCAATTTACGTTATTAGTGCCGGAATTTCACCTGAGGTTGTTATATATTAGATGAATTTTTAATGTTTAACTTCTGGCTGCCATCCATAGTATACTTATTAGTTAGCAGAATGTAGAAGGGATACTTTGCAAAAAAAAAAAAAGCAGATGATTTAGAAGTTCATGGACTTGTACTGCAAGAATGAGATTGAGAACTTTTTCTCCAAGGAAAGTCTGCTGGAAGGTTTTAAAATTACATTAAATATCTAAAGTACTCCAGTCAAATCACAAGTTAATATCCATGAGGGAAAGCAGACCACTGGAAAGGAAGGAGATGTAAAATTGCATTTAATATTTTTGCCCTTCCAAATTATAATAACTTTACTTTCCCCTTTTGGGATTAGATTTTACTTATGTCAACTGTCAATCAGATGGAAGAGTTCACCAAAGTCAGTGGAATTGTAGGAGTGAACACTCACCAGTTCCTGTAAAGGTGTTGGCCTCTACTTTTTACTGATTTTTTTTCGTATGATTATTGGTCAAATACCATTTTATTCAGCAGAAAACATTTAGAATGTTAATATGAGTCATCTTGCTTTATAATGTGCTCAAAGATTGTGACTTGTGTGAGTAATAACTCTGAGAATAGCCAGTATTGATTTTCATCTCACACCTGTGCAAGATGCTGTGTTATGTGCTGTGCACTGGGGTTAAGCCGTGAGCAAACACCCAGCCAAAGCTGCTCTGGTGGAAACTGGGCAGCTAAGGAGGCCTTTGTCCTGTGGGTTTAAAAACTGAAATATACCTTAAGCATTATGCCAAGTGGAGTTCCAGTCCTCTATGCATCGGCTGTAGCCGGAGGAATCTTGTGGGGGTGTTTTGGGGGGACTCAAATAACCAGTACCTGGGATGTTTGTGGAGCTGTCAGGATAAGCTGCCAGGATAAGATAACCATTGTTTATACCTGCTCTGGATGAACAAGTGAAGAGTGGGTAGTTTGGGTTTTTCTGCAAAGATGAAGAATTTATTGTCCCTGTGGTAAATGTTTATCACTTATATCAGTGTGTTCTGAATTTTAGCTCAACATAAGTCAGTGTTTGTTTCATAGTGGTCAATACCCAGTCCAAAGATTTTTGGAAGTGGAACTACAGATGCTTACTTATGTCTTTGTATTGGAATGATGGTACTATTTTGTGTGTGTGTGCCTAAAGTCGTAATTGCATGTGCTTGTGTCCTATAGCTGTTGCAGAAGTAGGTATTATATAATTGCACGTGCTTATGTCCTATAGCTGTTGCAGAAGTAGGTATTATAATATTCCATCAACTGATAATTCTTGCTTTAATTCTTTGAATAATGGCTGTTTAGAAGTAATTGATATAAACAGGTTTTAAAAGTATTTCAGGACTTGTTTAAGGTATGATTTTTTTATTTTTAAATTTTCTTTTAGGTGGCTTGGCTTTAGCTCAAGTACTGTTTTTTTATGTGAAATACCTGGTTCTGTATGGTGTTCCTGCCCTTCTCCTCCAAATGGATGGACTCAAACCTCCAGCTCTGCCTTGCTGTGTGAGCCTGATGCACAGCTTCACTAAAATGTGGAGGTTAGTCACTGTTTTTTCAGACAATTTATTACTGATACATGACAGTCAAAGAACATGCGTGTGTGTGTCCATGGTCACATACATGGTTGCTTTCATGTCCTCATGCAGCAGAAACAGGGTGCAGAAAACAGACGCACTGTTTAAAAATTATTTGAACTACTAGCAAATGCCTTAATGTAAATTCTCTTTCAGAGTTTGAACTGAATTTAGGACCTACAGAGTTAATACAGAAATCTGTGCTTTTTACCAGACATTCTCCTGAGAGCAGCATCTCTTGGCCTGCTGGCCCTTGTAAGCAGAGTTGTGGACAGCAGTGGGGTTTTTTTCTCCTCTCCCAGTTATTATGGCAGGGAATCTTTGTATTGCTCTGGAGGTGCCAAATGAGACTGAACTCTGGCACAAATAGTAATGACACTGCTGTGTCAGGTAGCTGTAACAGATGATGAAAAGGCACTTTGAATCTGCAAAGGTGCCTGGTGTATCACATTAAAAATGTTGGGTATTCTTTAAAAAATATTCATAATACAAGAAAATTGAAACTAGTATCTTAGCAGAAAGTTTAATTGTCTCTTTACAGAAGGAAAAAATGTGATCTGATATTTAATACTTGCACAAGTATTTCATTCATATGTATCATACATTTACTACTAGAAATAGTAAAATGAATTCATAGATGGGGTTTATTTGCTTTGAAAGTTGGAAAAAATCAATTCATGTACAGTTGATTTGATTTCTTGCTCTCAAAGATGTATGGATAATAGAATTTCCTATGGCTACTAGTGAATTATGGGTCATTGTCAATTATATAAGAAAATTCATGTAGCTTGCCCTCTGGATCTCTGAATTGAGGCCCTTATGCCTTTAAAGAGTTAAACTCTTCAATCACTACTATGCAGAGACTTTGTTTTGTTGTCAGTGTTAAAGTAGGAATTGTCTTTTGTTTCTAAACTGTATGACTGTGAACAGGACAGGAAGTGTGGAAATGATGGGTTTAACATAAAAGCTAGCAAAAAATGGTGAAAGTAAATAGCTTGTGTTGTGAAATCTTATGAATAGTGACACTGTTTCCTTAAAGTGCTAAATACTTCTGCCTAGTTTGAATATGTGAACTTTTAAGTGAATGTTCCTAACAACTTTATCAGAGTGGGTCAAATGTAAATGGTAATTACACAGTGCCTAGTACCAGACTCTTTTTTTCTTAAAGTGGCAGTCTGGTAAAGCTTGTTAATCTTCTAAGGCCAGGCTGGAAAATGGGGTGAGGTGGAATGAGCCAGATAACATGGAATGCACCGCTGCTACCTGCTGGCTGGCATCAGGGAGGCTGCTTGGAAAAATGTACTTGTGTGTGCTTGGCTTGCTTTTGCCCTTCTTGCTGGTGTCTGCTTTAGGGTATTCTCAAACAGGGTATTACTCCAGCTAGGCTTTCAGAAGACCCAGTATTGTTATTTTGATGTCTCAAAGCTATTAGCAGTGCAGATTTTGAAGAAGGTAGCCTGAAGAGAAAGACAACATGAATGTCACAATGCAAGGAATGCAAATATGCTACTAAGGAGTCTTCCACCACCACCTGGTGTCTTCTGAGCATAACAACAAAGATTTTGATCTGATACATCCAGACCAGTGTCACATATAATCAGCATGTGCTGACATAATTCACTAGGTGATACAGCAGGTGGAAGAGCTTTCTATCAGGAAAGTAAGAAAGATACCACAGCTCATCTAAAACTTCTCTAGAGCTGAAAAGCAGCAGGTATTAAACAAATCAGGTATGCTGCCTTCCCATTTATGGTACTAAACAATAAACTAAATTGTGTATATTCAAACTTACAAGTAAAAGGTTTTGATTAAAAAACTGTTACCAACTTTATAGTAGATTCTGCTTAATTTGCATTTTATTCAATCAAAACAATCTCTTGAGACAAAAATAGCAATCTTGTTTACTGTCTCAAGGCAAATACAGGTGTTGAATGTGTTACTGTGGTTTCATTTTACCATGATATCACTATCTTCCTAAATGTGCAGTTGCATAGCTAATAAATGCATGATAATGGATTACTTGATTATAACTGTGAAAAGGAGATTCTGAGCTCCTGATTTCCAGATAAGGCAGCAGTTCAGTGACACAAAAACTTAGTTTTTAATGTCTGCTTTATCTTATTTAAGTCACAAGGTGTTAAAACTTGGTTTTTGTTACCAAGGGTAAAAGCAAGGTAATGAATAGTGTGAGAGCAAGCAATGTAAGTGCTTGTAAGTGCTTCTGAAGAGTTGGTCAAGGCTGATGTCTGCAATACAGCTTTTCAGGTGGGGAGCAATTTGTATAGTGTAACTGGAAAAAGTTGTGCTACTGCTGAAAATTGTAAACTAGTTCAATATGGGAAAATATTGTAGTGGAGGAGTAAGGGTGTAGAAACTACCCTTCTATTATAGAAACAATAGATAGCATGTAACTAAATCCTATGTCAATTTTGACATATTGGTGAATGGCAATGCATTCCACAAACTTGTGAGTTTGTAAATTAAGATAATATTTAGCACAGATGCTGCTCATGGAAAAAAATACCATAGTGCCATTTTTGTTTCTGTACTACATTACTGAGTGAGTGCTCTTCTGCAAAGATGTTGGACACATTGATCAGATGTGTTTTGACATGCCATGGGAACAGCATGGCATAAGAAACCAGTTATCTCTGGTCATAGACTGAGGCATGCAGAAGCACAACTTAAAATTTGCATATTCCCAAGTATGTTATCCCAGTCTAATTTGGGGACAAGTTTGAGGACAAATTGTGCTAAAACTTCATGCATGTTCAATATAAGTTAGCCTCAGCAAGGGCAGAGGTTCTTCAGGAAGGCCTAAGAAGTATTTGAAAGGTAGACTTCACAGGAAACAGAATTTCATCTTGAATAAAGAAAATGGTGTTGAAACATGCACTGATGGAGATTAAAATAATGCACTGATGGAGAAAGGTCTGGCCATTTTCAACTACTATGCTGTAAGTTCTAGATTCCACATTGTATTTAACACCCCAGTTTTTGACCAGACAGGAGTCTGGCATAAGTCAACCCCTCATTTTCTTGCATGCTAATGGGTGGAGTAGGAGGGCTGTATTTGGCATGTACAGACACACATGCACACTTAAGTTTACATGTTAAGAACACATGTTAAGTTTATCCCACAGGTGTTTTGGTGACATCCAAAAATGACACCTGGGTTATGATTTGAAAGAAATTGTCTGCAATTTGGTCTGGTTTACCTGCCTCACTATTGCAAAAGCATTGATTGCCCTGTGTGAGAGAAGTGGCCTATATGCATGGTCTCAGTGAATTGCTCCAAACTGATGAGCCTACAGCAAAATTCTAATCCATATTATCTGTAATTGTGCTATAGAAAATGGATCTACAAATGAAGGTGTAATCTCATCTGTATCTGTACACTTTGTCTCCCTTCACTGTTGCTCTTGAAACCTTCCCTGCTCTGGAAATAGTTCCTTGTGTATGTCTGTCAGAAAGGACCATGCAGGGTACTTTTTCCCTTCCTTTCAGATTCTTTTCTGGGAAGAGACAAGTCTGATACTGATGCTATATGTGACTGTGAGCACAAGAGATCACTGTGACCACACACAGTAATTTTGGAATGATGAATAGCAAGCAAAAACTTACAATCTCTTATTTCTGGCTTAAACATTAGTATTTATATCTAATTACCTTCTCTTAGTTTGTAGTGAGGACTAGAATAGCTTTTTAAACAAGGAAAATAGATTTTTCTGACCTGTAGGGGGAAAAAGTAATTATTTAAATCCCTTTTCACCTGTGTTTCTTACTGTCTGAGCCCAGTTTATCATGTACTTCCCTTTGGGCTTTTGACTTCTGCATTGGAATAAATATTTTTGGAGTTATTAAATCAAGAGGAGAAGGCTGCTGAAAGGCTTTGTTATAAGATATTAAGGTAATTTAAATAAGATCAGAAACGGTGTTTCTGTCTGCTTGATTTGGGAAGCTTGCCTCCTTAATTTTCCAACTAGCCAATATCTGGCACAAGTGAATACAGACATAATGGTCCATCTGTAACTGCTACAGCCATGTGTATTCAGGGTGACATCCCTGCCTCCGGGCTCAGAAAAAGGTGCCTTTGCAAGTTTAAAGGCTTGTACTGTAACAAACTCCTGTGGAAGGCTCTTGCTTTCTGTTTGAGTGTTGTAGTGCTCTTTTGCTCTGCTGTTTCTGTATAAGTTGATGGAAGGTCTGAAATTTGATAGCATATTTTCTCCCTAAATTTCTCCTTCCCATGAGTTTAGTTCTCTGATTATATGCTAGTAATAACAGCAAATCCCTGTTGTGGAACCTGTCATTTGGAGGTAATTACAGGGGAAGGGGGGGAAGAAAGGATGCTAAAAGATGGGTTGCAAACTTCTTCCCATGGCAGGTATCCTTAGGAGTCAGTTGCATTACAAATCCTTCAAAAACTTGCATGAGGGAAGGAAAGGCAGGTAGTGAAGAGGAACTCCGTATCTCCATGGTGGTGTGAAGAAGGGGTTCATCAGGAATTGCCCAGAGCCTGGTAGAAATTTGAATAGCACATCCAGGTCTGTGGCTCATACCTGCTGCCCACCTTGCTGTGGAACAGGTTGCAGCAGGAGCAACAGCTGCTCCCCAAAGCTGCAGGAGGACCCGCACTGGGGTTCTGCGCCTCGGGAGTGGGTGCTGTCAGGGGATCAGAGCAGGGATGCTGGGCCAAGCCTGCTTGTGCTATGAACAGAGAATCTCATTTTAAGTGCTATAAATGACCTAGCAGTTGGCTTCAGGGGGATCGGGTATTTTGAGGCGATTTGTTTTGTATCTATCCTATAGTTCTAGACAGCTATGTCTTTGAAAGCTCTCTACTCCATGCCTCTGATGGGACTTACCCAGCAGTTGGAACTGAGACAGAAGAAAAAGAACAGGCATATGTGTGTTTCTCTTTCCTCTGGAGATTAGGAGTGTCACTTCTGATATATTTCTAG